TTGCATCTACGGCTTTATTTAGTGCATTGATTAACATATATCTGTTCATAATGTGTTTATTTCATATAGATTCGTTTCAAAATATATAGATTTTTTATGAGTTTGTGAAACAAAAAATACAACTAAAAAGTTTCACATTGTGAACCGAATACATGTAAACAAACATGTTGTGAAAAAAATATATGTTAATCAATATATTAAATTCTAGCCTTGGATGAAAAAAATCATGTAAAACAATACCTTAATATGATAATTCTCACGGTTATCACAGTTTCTTAGGTTCTCAATTGATTAAGACCATTTATATATACATGACCAGTGCTACCTCCTTCTCAACCACCGCCACCACCAATTAATATTATATAGTACCTATAATTTTAGCGCGAAAGTATGAAAATGTCATATGAGAATATTTTGGTGGTTTATTATTATTTCATCTCAATTCCAAAATTATATTCTACCAACCAAACATGCAGATATTAATTTCTTTATTTGATATACTTTTAATATGATATTTGTTTTACTGGTCACTATCTACTATCACCTCTACCTCCTCTAAAATAAGTGGAAAAAAAATCACAAGGACAAAGCATAAACTATTGCTAATTTATCTTTATTTGATATAACGTTAATATGATATTTGTTTTACTGGTCACTGTCTACTATCATTGTGCCCGCTGGTGGATTCAGAAACTTAGGGGACTGGGGGACTAGGGTATATTTAAATATGAAAATGAATAACTCACCCGAACCAAAAGGTTTTTGGGTTATTCAGTTTGGGGGTTAAACGGTTCAGTTAACCACATAAGGTCAACTTCAATTATTTTCTAATTATCGGTTAACCGAATAGCAAAGTATACTATTACTTAATTTATATAGTTTTCATCTAAATGAATTGGTTTGAACATATATAAAACTAAAAATAACAAGAAATTGAGATATATATATATATTTAACAAAATTATTAACCAACGTTATCATTGGAGCATTACTACAAGAACTAGCGGTAACAACATATGGGGAGAACAACTGTCAAGCAAGAGGGTGGGGTTTTATAAAACGGACCCGACCACTAAGGGGACCGTTGAAAGTGACTGGGGAACTAAGCATAAGAGTAAAAAAAACAAAATTTTACTACAAGAACTAGCGGTAACAACATATGGGGAGAACAACTGTCAAGCAAGAGGGTGGGGTTTTATAAAACGGACCCGACCACTAAGGGGACCGTTGAAAGTGACTGGGGAACTAAGCATAAGAGTAAAAAAAACAAAATTTTAAATTTTTTACATTTGAGTGGGAGCCTTTCCCCTCACCTTCATCAATATATGTCCGGTGGCCACTATCAGCCACCTTCACCTTTACAGGCACCATCATCCAATTCCACCACCACCATTGGCTACCACTACCGCCACCCATCATCTCCTCTACCTCCACTATATCGACCATAACCACCTCCTCCACCATCATTGGCCGTTGCCACCACCATTGTCCACCATCTTCACATCCTCCATAGTCGTCGTCGTCCACTAACTACCACTGTCTATATCTTCCATCCGAGTACGCACTAATATATCTATCTCTACCCGCATTACAGCCAACAGGGTGGAAGTTGTGTCTTTACAACAACTCTCCTCTAATAATGTATGTATTATGTATATGAAATTTGTATAAAAATGTTTATAAATTAAATTATTTAATTTTTTCTTGATTTTTATCATTTATAATTATTATATGATATATAAAAATTATCAAACAAATTTTTAAGGCAAATTATCCGATCATGTTCTTTTTGGCTCTAATCATACCAAATAAACAATTATCCAACCTTATCATATTCAGTGTTACTCTGTCCAATTCAATTGTTATGTAGGTCGTGAACAACAACATGGGAGCCAAGCTCTCTTGGAAAATTATTCTAATAATTTGAAATTCTGCTAATTTTTTTATTGATTAAAAAACATTTTTTTATATTATTTTTTTTAGAAAAATTAGTATATAAATAATCTGACAAAGTTTTTCGTTTTTGCTTTTGCAGGCCATCATGTGGGTGACCAGTCTTAAAAGGGAAATTTATAAAAATAACCATTTTATACAACCTTTTGTCATAAAATAACTAGTTTTTAGAGCTTTTGTGTATCTGACCACCCAAATCGCCCCCGGGGGAGATCCGTACATGTGGGGGCGATTCCCCATAAAGACCCTTAAAAAAAATTGCCTTAAAAGACGAGATTACTGTTCACCTCGAAGACCGAAGTTTGACTTCGCCCTAGGGGGCGATCCAGCCTTTTATATTTTTTTTTTGTGGTATTTTTAATAAAACTGATACCCCATTTAAGTTGTATTTTTTAACTTTTTTACAACCAAATTTCATGGGTAAAAGTTTAAAAATAAACCCATTATAATTATGGAGACGCAAAAATTATTTTTATCTGATTTGGGTTTCGTAAATCAGATATAAACCCGTACATCTCTTCTTCTTCTTTTTTTTTTTTCATTTTTTTCTACCTCCAATTTCACTATAAATACCAACCTCCTACTTCATAATTTTTCACACATTCCCTTTCATTTCTCTTCTCATATATTCTACTCTCACAACTTTAACCCATTAAACACAATCAACCATCACAAAACATGAAATCACGTCAAAATGATGATGTTTGTGTGTATCTTCGAAGTGGCGGTTTATTCCAAGATATAAATGGTGTTTTAGAGTACCTTCCGATAACCTCCCCCACATGTGACTTATGGTCCCCCACCGCCAATTTATATAAAACGTTAAGTAATAAAACAAAATCCATCGTCAAATCGGCGTCATAGAGTGTCATAACATGAAAAACCGCGAAATCAGATATAATGTCTGATTTTTTCTCCCAAAATCAGCTAATTTTTTTTTTCGTAACCACAGTTACCATTGTCTTATTTCATGCCGAAAAACCATGAAATTTAAAATTAAATACGTAAAAAGACACAATTTATGTATTTTTCCATTTTTATTAAAAACACCCCTTAATTGTTAAATAAAAAACACAAAATGATGAAATAGAGGTCAAATTTCGTAAACCAGATATTATATCTGATTTACGAAACCCAAAACAGATAAAAATAATTTTTGCGTCTCCATAATTATAATGGTTTATTTTTAAACCTTTACCCATGAATTTTGGTTCTAAAAAAGTTAAAAACCACAACTTAAATGGCGTATCAGTTTTATTAAAAATACCACAAAAAAATTAAAAAATAATAATAAAATGTTGGATCGCCCCTGGGGGCGATGGGACAGTCTGGATCGCCCCCTAGGGCGAGGTCAAACCCGGTCTTCGAGGTGAACAATAATCTCGTCTTTTAAGGAATTTTTTTTAAGAATTCTAATGGGGATCACCCCCCACATGTGTGGATCGCCCCCGAGGGCGATTTGGGTGGTCAAAACGCAAAAACCTTAAAAAAAAAAAAAAAGGGAACTACATTTTTAGTCCCTTTAGTTTACACTCAATTATGAACAAGTACCTGAACTTCATTAAGTATAGTAATGGTCCATGTGCATTGCATTTTGTTTTGAAATTTGTCCCCGACACTAACATCAACTTAAATATATTACATTGTTTTTAATATGAGTGAATTACCATTTTCTACCATGTGGTTTGTTAAAAATTGTGGATTTCGTCCTCGTGGTTTTAAAATTTTGGTTTGCATCCCTATCGTTTGCAATTCATTTTTATTGTAGTCCGGAAGGCCAAACACTAATTTTTAAGTATGAAGGAATAAAAATAGAAATGAATTATAAACCATAAGAACGAAATAAGCAATAAACTTTAAATCATAAGGACGAAAAAAGTAATAAATTATAAACCATAAGGATGAAAACTGTAATTTCAAAATCATAAGAACGAAAATAGAAACTTTTAACAAACCACAGGGACTAAAAACATAATTTACTCTTTTAATACACATGTATATGAACCACCGTGGTTGTTTCCCCCTCATCGTGACTGTTTCATCCTTCAATCACCAACAACCCAATTTCCTCCTTCCTTTCCACCGTTTTGGCCACCCTTCATTTGCTTTCTGTTTGTTTCGTCCTCTCTTGATCACAATGAGCACAAGTATCCTTCGTTGTCTTGATGTTGCAATAAGGATGGAATTCACCTCTATTTTGCCCGCCCTCCTCTGGCCCTTAAGTTTCTTTCTATGCAACTAGTGAAATTCATGGAAGTGGTGGTGGAGTGTTATCTGGTAGATCAACAACATATGATACACATACCTTCTCCCATCGAGACACATCTACTCCTTCTCTCAAACCCCCTCGATCTCCTCCTCACGACCACATCCTTTGCCCCCACTGCTGCCACTGGCCAACCATCTGAACCATCACTGCCTTTAACATCCCCCTCAAGACACCAAAACAAAATAGAACAAAATATGGGTTTTTCGTGTGTGTTTATCAAGTGTGCTTGCGTGTATTTATGAATTGGTTTTGCTACAAGTCTTTGCGTTTGTGTGTCAGAATCAAACACACAACGATGTTTTTTTGTTCATCAATTGTTTGTGAATATGTTTTTGTCAATTCTAGAAGTTGAAGAGAATAGGTTGATGATTCTGTGTCTTAAATGGACCTTGTTCATGATTTTTTTTGGGTTTTGGAGGTTGAGGATGAGAGCAAAAACAGTGGCCGGAGAAAGGAAGAGGGTTGTTGTCGTCAAAGTAACCAGAGAAGAGGGTTGTTGCCAGGGAGGGGTGGGGTGAATACATCAACATGCAAAAGACATGGATAAATACAAAAAACGGGTAAAAAGACAAAGTTACCCTTTTCTTAACCGGAAAAATGTCAGGGACCGCTCGTGAAGCAAAATGCAAACCATGATGACTATTACTATATTTAACGAAACATAAGAATGTTATTCGTAGTTAGATGTAAACCACAGGGACCAATATTGTAGTTTACTCATAATTAAAAGAATAGATCCGCAATCCAAGAAGAACCTCAATCTTTTCTAATTGTTTTCCCGGGAGTCTATTCCGAGGTTCTTCCGACCAAAGATCACATTTTGCCCCAATCCAGATAAGTCTTCGTAATTTCATCCCCAAATATACAAATTCCCCACACATTATTCAAGAATTTTGATCTACAAGAGACAATTGTGCTTGTTGTTGCTTAAAGGATCATCATCTCTCTCTTTTTTTCTGAATCGGGATTTGTTTATGATCATCCCCAATTGGCTTAAGCAAATCCTGATTCAGAGGGGAAAAGGAAATTTGGGTTTCTAGTTTCATTGTCTGTATGTTTATTTCTCTGATTTCATAGCCATTCTTCATAATTTACACATAGAAAAGGTGTTGTATGTGAAATTTATTTGTGGGTTTGATGATATATAATCTCTAATTGGTTGATCTTGGATCGGATTTGGGGTTTGGGATATTAATTATCTTTCATTTAAAAAACAATCAGTTCATACCTCTTGAAGTAAATCTCTAGGGTTGACTGTAATCTTGTTACCCTTAGATTCTGATCCAAATTTCTGGTTGTTTTAAGTCCTGAGCTGATTGTTCCAAAAGGGATTTGAATAGAAGAAATCCAGTTTTGTTGGTTTTACAATGGGAAAACAATCAAGGAAAAACAAGAAAGTAGGATCAAAACCTGCAAATAATGTTAATCTGAAGCAAAACAAACTTGAGGATGGTGATATCGTGAAGGTCTACGATAAAGACACTACCATTTTCATTTCAATGGCAAGAGAACTTAAAGATGAAGGAAATAAGTTGTTTCAGAAGAAAGATTATGAAGGAGGGATATTAAAGTACCAAAAAGCCCTCAAATTGCTTCCAAGAAACCATATAGATGTTTCTTATCTTCATAGTAACATTGCAGCCTGCTATATGCAAATGGGTATCAGCGATTTTCCAAGGGCCATTCACGAGTGTAATTTGGCTCTTGAAGTCACACCAAGATATAGTAAAGCACTCTTGAAAAGAGCTAGGTGTTATGAAGCTTTAAATCGACTAGATTTGGCTTTGAGAGATGTTAATACGGTACTAGATATCGAGCCAAAAAATCTAATGGCAATGGAGATTGTAGATAGAGTGAAAGCACGTATGGAGACTGAACATGAGCCAAATGATGTGGTGGCATCAAAGATTGTGGATACGGTTTTAAAGATGGAAACTAATAATGCCATGGCCACAAACGAGATTACAGATAAGGTGAAAGCGATTCTTGAAAAGAATTCCTGTGGCGAACAAGAGATCAGTTCTATTCGAATCCCAGATTATCCATCACATTTGAAGCCATTAGAGAAGGTACATAAAAAGAAAAAGAACAAAACAGATAAGAAAAGCGTAAAACTTGATCAGGTTGAGGAAAAGAAAGATGAAGATCGAACAGATGGGATAACCGAAAAGATTAATGATGAGGATGATTGTCCAGATAAGGTTGAAGCCAAGGAAAAGAAGAATGAGTTGAAAGATTTTGTAAGAGATGAGAAAAAGACCGAAGATAAATTAGTTGTGGAGGAGAAAATAAGCACGAGTCGGAAAGAAGAAGAGCCGAAAAGAGTTGTCAAATTGGTATATGGGGAAGATATAAGATGGGCAAAAATTCCTTTTAATTGTGATATTCTGAAGCTAAGAGAGATCATAGGTGAACGGTTTCCAGTTTCGAAGGCCATTCTAATAAAATACAGAGACGAAGAAGGTGATATGGTGACTATTACCACAAATGAAGAACTAAGGTGGGCCGAATCATCAACTTCTGATCAACGGAGTGCATTTAGGCTGTTCATTTTTGAAGTCAACCCTGAGCAGGATCCGTTCTTTGACCATGTTAGAAGCCTAGAACATAAACGAAAGCTTGCAAATTCGTCTGCTTGTATTGATGATTGGATTCTAGAGTTCGCTCAGCTTTTCAAGAACTATGTTGGGTTCAACACGGATGTATATTTGGATCTTCACGAGCTTGGTATGAAGCTATACTCTGAAGCTATGGAGGATACTGTAACAAGTGATGAAGCTCAAGAAATCTTTCAAACTGCAGCCAATAAGTTTCAAGAAATGGTAGCTTTGGCTTTCTTTAATTGGGGAAATGTTCATATGTCAAGAGCACGTAAAAGGGTATACTTTACGGAAGATGGTTCAAGAGAATCCGTACTTTCACAGGTTAAAGATTCATTCGAGTGGACACAAACGGAGTACTCGAAAGCCATTGAGAAATATAAAGAAGCAATCAAAATTAAGCCGGATTTCTATGAAGGTTTTCTGGCTCTAGGACAACAGCAATTCGAACAGGCGAAACTTTCTTGGTATTATGCAGTTGGCACGAATGTTAATCTTGAATTGTGGGATTCAACAGAGACGTTTGAACTTTATAACAAAGCCGAAGATAATATGGAAAAGGGTATGCAAATATGGGAGGAAGTAGAGAAAGAGCGTGTGAATGGTGTTTTGAAGCCAAATAAAGTCAAGTTACAGTTGCGGAAAACAGAATTTAGTAGATTTGTTAAAGATCTTACAGAAGATGAAGCGGCTGAGCAGGCTGCAAATATGAGGTCTCAGATAAATGTGTTGTGGGGCACGATGCTTTATGAAAGATCGATCATGGAGTATAAGCTCGGAATTCCTGTTTGGCATGAATGTTTGGAGATGGCTATCGAAAAGTTTGAGCTTGCCGGAGCTTCTCATACACATATAGCTGTCATGATCAAGAATCACTGTTCCAATCCTACTGCACCAGAAGGTTTGCTACTTATACTAGAAAATGATGTTTTTTCCCGACATAATTTCAAGAAATCTTGGAAGCAAGTTCCGAACTTTAACCTTCTTTAGGTTGGCTCAGTTTTTCTCTGAAACCACTGTTCTACCCTTTGGGGGTAGTGGTCAAGACTGCTTACATACCACCCCTCCCAGACCCTGCTTTTGAGCAAAAAATTCTGGGTTTGTTTGGTTTGGTTTCTTGAAAAAAGTTCCTGTTTTTATGGGACCATCTTCGTTTCTCCTAAATGAGATCCAAATTTATGAAAATGGTGAACAGCCAAAACATATGCTTCGTGATTAATGTATGTTAGAGTCTCATATCTACCAGACACAGTCCCTTTAACCTCTATATATGTTGGAACCTTATTTCTCGTTTGAAAGGATCTCTTAGAACGCTGTCTACAACTTCAAGAAATCTTGTAAGCAAGGTTTAATTGTCAATTTTGTGGTTTTTAGGCGTGGGATTCAATATCGATGAGATCGTGCAGGCATGGAATGAAATGCATGAAGCAAAAATGTGGCAAACCGGTGTTCCTTCTTTCAGATTAGAGCCGTTGCTTCAAAGACGAGTTTCAAAGCTTTTTCATGGCTTGGAACATCCATGAAAACCACTGTTTCTTGATGAAATTGGAAAAGAGAACCTCTCGTTTACTTCCATTTCCTCTTCAGTTCTTGATTTGGTAAGTAACATGTTTCCCTCTAACTTCTATTAAATATACAACATTTCCACTTATGGAAGCTTGTATTTCTATAAGTAAACTTAATCTCAGATGTATACATATACATGATCACCATATGTAACTTGAGCTTTAGAAGTTCCTAAAGATTTAACGTACGTTTTTTGTAATTTTCGTAGGACAAATTGTTGCAGCTTCAAGCTCGTTGTTATGCTTGTAGAAAAGTAGACGACTTTACACCAAATTTGCTCTGTTGGCGAACGATTATAGTCATCTTCATGGAAACTTCTCTAACCCTTGGAGTAGATGCAAGATTTGCATACATCCTCCCCCGACGTCTATGTATGATAGATATATTGGGTTCGTTTGGTTCTGTGAAAGATGACAATCTGTAGCCCCTCAAATTTGATCAAGTGAGGAATCTTGGTGCATCGGTTTTGTTGTAGTTGGTTTTTCCGATCACTGAATCATCACCCTGATATCGTTTTCGCATGTTTCACACATTTTTTTTTCCGACTTCGAGTGCTTTAAGATGTGCCATCTTTTTTCTCTCTCTTATCGGATGAAGTCATGTAACTTGTTTCTCTTCTTGGCTTGTAATCGATTCATTCGGATAGTTTGTGATCAAAGATTGATTTCTTTTAACAAAATGCCATACATGTATGTTGGTTACTAGTGGTATACCCGCACGATACAGCGCGGGTGAATCACAATTCTGAAACATTAGTTTATCCTTAAATTATAAGTTTGTGTGGGTATTTTGCAAGTCAACTTATATATAAAGTTAAAGGTTAATACGGTGTATTAACAAGATCGAATGGAAAAATAATTGCACACGTATTTGGTTTCTAAACCCATGTACTCAGAATTTATTACAAAAATTTGAATTTAAATTTAGTTGAAGTCTGAGAAAACCTCCAAAAGCTGAGACCATGAAACATTCTTGGGAAGATGCTTTACCTGGGTCTAAAGCTAAAAAAGGGAGGAAATAGAGATGGAAGGAATAAAGCAAAACTAAGACTTTCGGTTTGGGTGATATTGATGGTGTTGTATTAAAAACTTGTACATCATGCTTTATGAGTTGTAATTAAGAGATTTTTAAAATTCTTGCATAAAATGGTTGTACCTTTTGCTTAAATGCTTGTACTTAAGATTTAGTTTAAATGCTTATTAATGTAGTATAGATGTTCATCAATAGACATCTTTCTATCTTGTTTTTAATTTGGTTTCCCAAATAGATAGCATAATAAGGGATTTGGACTCTTGATCACTTTTAATCTCAAAACAACTCATGAATTGTATTTTAGAAGATAATTGATCTAGTGTATCTCATTAATATTGATCTGATTGTTCTCTTTAATTATGATTGATTCAAGGGTGGAGATCTCTTATTAGTTTTCTCATTATAACTGTTATTCTAATTGGAACCCAACCCTATATATGATATAGAAATTTCAAATATAAACCATGTAATTACATTTTAGAGAATCACCTTGATAAAAATGAATCCCGACTTTGTCCCCGTATAGATGCTTAAAGTTCTAAGCTCAATATTTTTCTAAAATGCCAAATAAAAACCCATCAAATAGCTTTAAAGATTAGGGTTGGGTTCCAGTGAGATTGGTAAGAAGAGATCTTCACCTTTGGATTAAATCCTAATTGAAAATTAGCACTAATGAGACGTAACGAGATGCATCAGATCTATTTTCGTATCAAGCACAATCCATAAGGTGGGTAAGATTAAAAATGATCAAGGATCCAGATCTCTTTTTATGTATCTCCTTTTAATTCCTATTCTCATACCATTCTTGTTATTAATAATAGTCATTAAAAATTGCCTCAACTTAGCATTCATTGTTATTCCTCTGCATTACAAATATAATGGTCGGAAAAATCTATGATATTTTGATTGAAAATACTTATTTCTATCAATAAGATGTTTTATTTTTGAGTTAAATGCATGAAATAACAACCCACTTTTATAAATTTCCTTATTATAGCATTGTAATTTTATTTTTTCTTATTACAACAATATATTTTCAAATTATTCTTTATTAGGGCATCATATTTTGAAAAATCTATCTATTCTTCAATGATTCAACGGGTAACCTACTACATTTTAAACTGGTTAACTCTTTTTTTTTTTTTTTGCTTTATTGGCTTAAATGAGGTGATGTGGAAGACACATCATTTGATGACACGGCTAAAATAAAAAAAAATGAAAAAAAATCTTTCAATTTGTTTGTAATGATTTTCACTTTTCATTGCTAAGATTTAAAAAAAATCAATTTTTTTAACTTTTACCTATTAAATTGCATCAATTTAAATATTCTAAAGTAAAATATTTTTTAAATAAAGATGATATATTATTTTCAAGGTGTCACTTCTTATTTTATTTTGTTAAAACTTTTTTAAAATGTTATATAGATAAACTGTGTTCTACGAGTTTTTTTTAATAATGTTATATTAATGAATAATTTAGAAATTCTCTACTTCATTTAATACATTTACTACATAATATGTAAATTCAAATTTTTTTAAAGTATAAGTTGTAATAAGAAATGTCATGTTAGCAAAAAAATTCATGTGAACAATGATGTGACATGAAAACATGGTAACCGTGTAAAATTTTAGTCCACCAAAACGATATCGTATGCAACAATTTACCCTGTAAGCACTTACCGTGGTAAGAGCCGTCACCCTCACTTACCGGGTAAGATTCTTGGTCTTTGTCTCGCTCTTACCGGGTAAGATTCTTGGTCCTTGTCTAGCTCTTACCGGGTAAGATTCTTGGTCCTTACCATATTCGTCCGGTAAGGAAATGTAACTTGGTAAACGGTTCCTTAATCATCTTGCATGACACATATAATCATTCAGAATGGGTCATACACCCCCTAAACCCTAATAATCAAAACAAGATGTCCGATGAAATATGCAGTTCGTAATAATAAATCCAATCTTAAAAATGCAATCAGTCCCTGTACAAATTATACATCAAAAAGCAAGAAACATTTGTGTGTAAATAGGACCCAGTACAAGCTACAAAACTTAGATTGTATCTTATCAACTAAGAACTTAAATGATACAACATAACATATCATCTCTTCCAACCATATTTAGGACCAGGGCCATATGAATTTCGGCCTAAACCTAGACCTAACTCTAACCCTAACGGACCACAATTGGTTCTTAATTTCCGTGGCTACAACTAGAAGAATGAACATGTGTTTTTGAGTTCTTACTCACATCAATAAAATGGGTATTTCCGTTGGGTTGATGAGGATGACCACCAGCCATAGCATCACTGGTGCCGTTTTGCTGGTGAGAATTCCTGGACATAGGCATCATATCTATCCCGTCTGATTGACTTGTTTCTTCAATCAACTCTATGTCTTCGTTGTAACCATTTATAAACAAATCTGAACAGTTCTTCCTGCACCCATGATCGTATGGGTTTCTGAATCGACCTCCAGGCCCTCTTAAGTAGCTATAACGCATAGAGTTTGCCAGTTCGTTTGTCGTGATGTTACGACCAACCTGCACCAAGAAAGATGAGACAAAATGGAATGTATCAATGTGTCACTTGAGGATGAATTGTACAATGTCATAAAGTGATCTTGCCAATCTTACTCGTAATAATAGCGAGAGTAATGAATTTCTCCATCTCATAATAAGTAAAGGGTAAAATTGGAAAGTAGGCACCTACTTTTGAAAATAGAAACTTGTTTTTAGGACAAATTAAAATAGAAATGTGGACACTTGTTTTTTAGCGGAGGGAGTACTAAAACATATACGGGTCTCCCACTTGGATTTGTGCTGAAATCATTTACCATCTTTTCTCATTAATTGTTTAGAATAATGATACACTTTATAACTTGAACACCAAAATATTAACTATAATAAACAACTCATTAGTATACAAAAGAGTAAAAACAAATTTAACATAAGGCAGAAATCACAATCTCATGCCAAACTTTAATTTCATTCATCATTTAAGCACCCCCATACTAAATCTGATGCAATGAAGAATAAAATATGCAGCCATACCTGAGAAATTTGCATACAAGTTAAGGCAGCCACACCTACGAAGAGAAAACCATCCGAAATTACAAATAATAGGGCACCAATGTGCTGGTTACCAGCATGGTTCAACCAAGCCCCAAAAGAAGATGGAGCCCATGGATCAGTCAAAATTCCTGCATTATGATGTTCTTTCAGCATGCGAAGCCACCCAAGTGGGAATTAAAGAAGCTTTAGATGAGAGAACAATACTTGTAATGGTAACTGTTCCAGTTATCAGCATGGCAAAAACTTCAAGAACAAGGAAGCCCAAAAAATCCCTTTTATTCCTCTGTATCATAACAAAAGCTAGGTCAATAAGGACATAACGATTGGCATAAAGTAAACTAAAGCCAACAAACAACTTTCCTGGATGCATCATATATTGCAAGTTTCAATGAGGATCCAAACGAGTTGATAAACATTCTAGGATCCAAATGCTTGATTTTATAGAATAAGAAGTCAGATATGTATACATATGTGTGTTGATGATCACCTTTCACTTGATAACAAGGCATGTTTCCAGATAAATAAGAGGACTCTGACGAGAATAAAGAGAACACTGGTCCAGAACGATATAAAATCATGGTGAACTGAGTAGCAAGACAAATTGTGGTTATGAATCATCTTACTTAAATAGGATCTCCAAAATAAAAATTATCCGGCAAACCTCAGAGAGTGGAATAATGGACACTGAAGGCCATGGCTTGCCTGGAAAGGGGTGATGCCTAAAAGGCAATGGTGGTGGCTAATTTTTGTGGGGACTAGGGTCTCAATTATCAAAACCTCTTACATCTAACAAACTAAAATACAATTACAAGTTGTCATGTTATTTGGTATGTTCAAACTAAGACACAATTTCTTCCCATTTGACATCTACTATCGTACTGTGTTGTTAATTGCAGCGATATCTTGGATAGCGGTCCTATGCAAAATAACGGTGGTCAAATTGCGGTTTAAATTGCAATAGCGCAATTTACCGCAATTTTGACCGATATTTAGAGTAAATTGCGTTCGATATTAACGTTAGTTTTTGGGAGGTTTGGGCTTTATTTTCAGTCTTGGGCTTTAGACGACCACGACTTCTAGCTTCTGTTAACGTTAGTCAAGGCTTTTTTTGGGCTTTAAGAACTAGGTTTCTCACTTAGACGACCACGACTTCTAGCTTTAGACGATCTGATCTCATCGACAAGAAGTAAAAGGGAGCGCTATAGGGATGATGATCATCATCATCATGCTGGAGATGAAGGGAGAGAAGGGGGAGAAGGGGAAGAGTGGGAAGCTAGCCAAACGAAAAAGTGAACGTATTAGATGATGATGACTCAGATGTTGAACCTATTGCTTGCGATTAGCTCGTTTATGAACACTTTTCCTATTTTGCAAATGATATGTTTATGTAGGCATGTAATATATATATATATATATATATATATATATAATCATATATAATTCTAAGAAATATTATATGAACCGCTATTTTTGGACCGCTATACCACCGGTATAACCGCTATTTCAAATATCGGTCCTGACCACAATTTTGTATTTTCACGCTATAACAGCATAGCTATCGTATGTTACTTTCACACACACATTTAAAAAGCACCAATAGAAGTGTACGACAAAAATGCACCTTGTTTTTCACATACATCATCACGTCCACCCACGAAATCACACCTTACTTTGTTGTTAAGCATTTTAATGTTCATTTGTGTATGCACCCACATACATGAATATGTATTAACTATCACACATAAAGTTGCAGGACGAGGTCATTTAAAATCATACTATTGGTAATATAGTATTTTCATAATCTTCTTTATAGCCTTGCACTAAGATTGATTCTCCTTGGATGGAGTAGTAAATATGAATATGTAAACAAACCTTGCCAATGCAATTAGATACCCAGGGGCAATGATGGTCAAATTGTTCAACACATCGATCACAGGTGGAACAATGCTTTGAGCGAATAGGTCGGACAATCTAATCAACAAAGTCAAATCAGTCAGAAGCTTAAATTAGAATAAGAACAGATAAAAATTAACTATAACAGCAATATTACCTTACAAGTTGCACAAAGTTGGGACCAGTTACCAGCTAGCAAAGCAGGATCATTTATCTCAATCTTCAGTAAAGGCTCCTAACCAATACAAAGAAAAGGAATACAAATTTAACTGTTGTAAGAGCAAGCCTTTTTTGTTTACATACAAGAACAATGATCTTAAGAAAAGAAAATGCAAGAACTTTTTGAGTTGGCAACAGCAACAATAGTCAACATTGATATCACTAAGAAAATAATTAGTTTGATAGCAGAAAGTATACGCAACTTACATCATCTTTCATATTTTGTGAATCATGCCTCGTGGTTTTAACATACCCTGGATCTTTGCTACAAAAACCACAAGGCTCCACATGAATTGAAATATTAAACTTATTAGAAAGTAAGATATGAAAATTCAACTATGAACATGCTCCAATTCAAAGCTAATTAGGTCGAAATATCATCGCTCTAACACCTTTTTGTACATCAAAAATAATTTGTGCAAATAAATGAACCACTATAAAACATGACACCAACTAAAACACAAGTATCAAACAATGGTTCTCAATAATATCATACAGCAAAAGTCATAGCACATACCAGCTACACCGGTAAAACAATATCAATCCCATGCTTGCCAATATCACACCAATCCAAGCAAAAAATGCAGACGTAATTGTCATCTGTGGTAAATTTGAAGCTGCAGCCACAAAGACAGTTACAAAATTTGGTCAGGCATTATCAATCTCAAGTTATAAAGCAAGTGTATACTATTGAAAAGTTAGAAAAATACCCATAACAACTGAACTAATATAGGTCAGAAGTAGCACAAATATTACACACAGAAGTGCTGGTGCCAGGCCTAGTTTTGAAAGTCGCCCCAGTGTACTCGTTCCATCCCAGCGTTTGTCTAACACCCTCCTAGCATTACCCTGCAGAATCAGATATGGTCACAGAAAAGTAGCACCAAGATACTCTTACACAATAGTATGTAAGCAAGCACATATTAGCAAGCAGGAAATATTTCCATACAAAACCGTATATGGTTCTGGAATGAACAAACTATCAGTATTTGTTGACTTACAGGAATATCCCAAGTATATCATCCAGCTGAATCATTTATTGACCAAGTTATCACAGTGAAAACGACAATAAACAGCTACGTGTCTACAGTTCCTAAAGTAACCATAGTACAGTTATTTAATAAAATGACCGAGTATATGAAGTAAAGTGCTTCCTGGAATTAAATAAAAAAAACATAAGGGCTTCAGTAGAGATCTTGCACCCATCCCATAAAAAATGCAAAAATGGTTTTGGTATGTCCCATACTAATTACAACGTTCCCTTTTCAGGAAAATTTTGAAACTATGATATCCCATTTGCCAGTGTCATTATTCTGAAGTATTGACAGTGTAGATTTCGATCAAAATATTTCCTTATTTTGTATTATTGAAAGATAAATTAACCATTTAACAAGCTGACAAACACTTCTATAAAACTACTTTTGTGAGATGAAGTACACCTTTTTACAAGCAATAAACACTAGTGACAGATATCATGAACCTATTATGGAAATTTTTATATAAACCTTCAAGATTTTGTGCAACAATTACCAATTTTCAGAACATAAACTTTTTGTAATAAAGCACAGCCTAAAATTTCAAAAAAAATGTGGTCAATCTAATAGTCATAATGCCTTTCAGAAAGGGGTGAGCAGAAGAAAAGCACGGATTAGAATCGAGTGAACTGAACAAACATAAAGGAGAAGGCTTCATAACCATTCTCCTTCTAAATATAAATTATGAGCCACCCAAAGACATAATGCATCACAGACGACAAAATTACAAACAAGCAAGTGCCCAGTTGTCGATTTGGTATGACTTCATAGGAACTGTAACTTAAACAAGAACCAGAAAGTCTGCTTCATAAAACAATTTTCCTAGCTAAAACATCTTTGTAGACTATCACACAAGCATCATAGATCGACTTGGGCGAAAGATATTAGATTTTAATATCTGCTCTGATGATAGAGAGAGGGGGGAGGAGAGAGAGAGGATGGAGATTACAAATTTCATATGAATTGCCATGATAAATGATTGTCACATCTATAAAGTAAAACCACTTAAAAGAAACAAACATTAACAACTTAGCAAGTGTTCTAAAAGGCATTAAGCAGAGCTAGAAATCCGACTGACCTTCTAGTTCTTAAGCCTATAGGAAACGGTAAGTGGTTCATTTAAAAATATAAAACCACTATTTTTTGACTATGTAAGTATATGAGAACTAAAAGTTTAATACTATATTACTTTGATACAATAACTTATATGGATGACTAGTCTCATTGTTTCTTTAGTGCAGTTACTTCGCAAAGATCAGAAAGATTCTCTCCAACCTGAGAAAAGGTTAATTTAATAAGTTGCTAAATTGAAGTGGTGGGGGATGCTTAACTCCTAGGCAGCCAATTAAGCAGCCCTAACTACTCTTAACTGGTGGGAGGATGCTTAGCACCTACACAGCCTCTCAAGGGGCCTCAGGTGGGGAGTTTTAGGACATTGACCATAGCGCAGACCGAACATCAAACAGGTTAAATTAAAATTTTACAAGTATCTGTTGAGAAAAGTAAGACTACTATTTTGAAATTCTGCTTGGCAGGGACAGTCCACACCAGATAAACTTTGAAAATCCTTTATTTTATGATACATCACATGTCAGAGAGCATTTTGGACTTGGCAACATATCAGAAGAAATGACTATTCAAGAAAAATCAACTCTGGCTAGAGTGCATGACAGTCAGCTCTAACCACTTGTATATAAGCAAGCCAAGCATTATTATTTTGAACTCCTTTTCCCTCAACCAAAATCAGGTTCAATTACATGCACCACAAAGAATGTTAAAGAGCCACTAAAACTGAAAGTAGTGGACCTCATCTAAGCTGATAATGCAGTAAAACTGATCTTCACACACAATGTAGCCCGTAACAAACTGCTGCAATGAAATATGTTTATTTACAAGTATCAAGGAATACCTACAAGGAAAAAAGCAACTTGTCGATGATTCTTATCAGAAGCGAGTTGTGCTGGTGTTAGACCAGTATTATCAGTCACCATCAAATCCTCTTTCTTTCCAGCTTGTACAAGTACTGTGCATGCTTCTAAGTTCCCCCTGATAGCAGCCCAATGTAGAGGTGTACAACCTGATATAAAAAGATGCATGCAACAACATAACCGTTATTTTATAATGTAAAATGATCAGCACAAGTACTTGATTTTTCAATTGCTCTCCTTGAGAAGCAGAAAATGAGGTAATTGCAGAATATGTAATAAAACCATACCCTCTTTGTCCTGGCGCCCTCTATATGCATCCAAAAATAGAAGAAGCCGTATACAGTCTGCAAAACCTTTATATGCAGCCCTACAAATTGACAGAAGACCCCCAGCGTTTGTTTAAAAACCAGCTTTAGGAGTAATTTAAGGCACCCAAAAATGGATCTTATAACTTATATACAGCAATTATAAATACGAGGGCTGGTCCTGGCTAGTAAGCCAATAAGAGAAGATCAGCTATCCTCGGAAAGCTGAAAATATACAAAATTTAGCCTACAGATTACTTTCTTTCTCATGGAGGATGGTGGTCGATGTCTACTCTCAGATCTCATCACTCCAAATCTTACTGTAACTTGTATCGACGCATACAAAAGTACAGTAACTATTGTTGACGCAAAGATCGTGGATTCATAGACTAGAGAGAGAAACTTAAGCCCTATCAAAGTTGGAATTTTGCATATAAGAAGACATGCAAGTACCAATGCAAAGGGCTTCTTCCATCATTATCAGGTGTGTCGGGATCTGCATTCCATTTTGTTACAATGTGATAGAGCAAGGCTGTTTGACCATATTGCGCAGCAACATGAGTTGCCTGCAGAAAACCCAAATTTGAAAAATGATCAGGCAAATGCATGATTACTCTTTTGAGCATTTATAATAAAAAATCTGGGTTTTGCTTAAAAAATAATGCAGGCTAGCACAAAACTCGATCATGGTCTTATAAAAGTCAACCACACTAAATCAAATATTAGTTCACCATCTAAATATTGCTGGCTTGAAATCAAATCGCAGAGAACCATAAGATAAGATGGCTATGGTAACTACACTCAGAGACTCAGACAGCCCGAATCCAAATCACCAGTAAAGATGCATTTTGCCAAAGCAAGAGATTGATTTCATAGATCAGGTTTTTCCACGAGAACAAAGAGCAGGCCAGCCAACACAGCAGCATAACATATCAGCTTAAAAAAGGAAGCAGCATGCATATCAAGATGGTTGTAAAGTATTACAAATAGGGTTGTTGACTTTGCGTCTGGTTTAGCTTCTTCAAAACTCTGTTTGTGACAGTATGAATGCGACTGTGTCAGTGTGTGGCCATGTGAACTGTGATTGAGAATGTCTATCCTTTTAGTCCTAAGAAGGTCAAACAAACGTTATCGTAGTAGATTTAGATTTTTTTTTGTTTAAATGACTGCTGGAATACACCTTGAAGTAAAAATCATCGGGCAGAAGGTCAATGGCCTGATGTCATAATATGTGGCAAATAGGAGATAAGATATAGTGATCATACACATACGGTGGTGTACCATGCGAGAAAATGATATTATCCAATTTGGCATAATCATGTATTCTGCAGCAGTAAAATAAACCTCATTGGCATAATCATAGGCGAAGATGGCATTATCTTTTGGCATGATAGATGGCTGCCTAGGACTTTAAACCATTATCCCAAAGTCCCCATATCAATGTCAAATAAGCCTTATCCTACGTTCTCCTTCATCAACAATGAAGCATTGAACTTCATTGTTGATATCTCCCCAAATGATCATCGAAGATAAACCTGTGCTCGAAGCTACACATTCAGAAAATTTTCTACTACTGCTCTTCATGAGATGCTATAAAGTAAATGGTCAAGATGCAATCAGGCAAACCCAAGGGATAAACTTATTCCAACACATTCTGCAGCTTTCATGTGAAGCCTCTATCACGAAAAAAAAAGTTATGTTTACTGTTTCCAAATGTGTAGGTTCTATCAATGATAATATACCAAGTGAAATTGTGTTGAACACCTTTTACCTCATAGCAGCTTTGCTAACAAATCTGACTTCTTCAAAAGTATGTTTCTTACAAAATACAGTGATTTTTAAATAAAAGAAGAAATTTTTCATTATCTAAAAAATCATAAGCCACCTATGGAATTGATCTAACCTTCTAATTTGTTTTACATTTTGTTGAACATATCGGACTCTAGAAGTAACTATCCTACGAATTTTAACTATACCCCTTGGCCATATATTATAGTTGATACATCATACTATCATGAAAACTTTTACCTACCAGAAACAGATTCAAATTTCAAGAACAGTAGCATACTAATAGTAGAATTAACTGCAAAAACAGAACCATATTTGGAGCTGTCCTGATTGCAATTAACAACATTTCTATTGTGGTGGTTGGTAATAAACCATAATGCTCCATTATTTTTGCTCCCATAGCAGGAGATCCAACAACAGAGGAGAAACAGAAGTTGCAATGGAAGGTACTCGTACAGCTACAAATTGGGCTGGAAACAGGCTATATAGCACTTGCTCCTGGTAATTATATTGAAGCACATAATTGGTTTCAGATCATTGAACGTTACTTGTCTTTATTTTAGTTATTACTTAGATTGTTATACAGATATTATTATTAAAAGTCATTCACTTTTAATTGTTAATGATCTCAAAAATAGATGGCACCCCCCATGGAATATTGCCACCATCTCCTAGAAACTCCTGTCTTTCAGGGTTGCTAAAGACTCCAACAGTTTTGCAAAAGTTCATGGCAAAACCTTTTTGTAGAAAAATACATCTCCACGAGAACAGCCTCTCTACTCAGAGAAAAGGTCTACGTACATCTTACCCTCCCCAGACCCTACTCCATGTAGGATTTACTAAGTTCGTTTGGTTTGGTTTCCTGGAAAATAGTTTCTATGATTGAGGATGATAACAAAATATTGAAATAGAACACCGTAGTGTAAAGCTTGACAAAGGTGTGTTGATGTCTTAGCTGTGGAAGGACACTCCCATGAAGATTCAACAATACACAGCAATACTGGAATTCTTCCAGACCATATCACAAACACCATCAAAGAAGATTTTCATGACAAACCACAGTTCATAACCACCCTCCCCCCAAAAAAACTATTTCAGTTTCAGGTACATACTCTCTTTTGCATTAGTTCTTTAGCAGTTTGCTGTACTTTGCAGAATTTTGCTTTTCTAAATTTTACATTCTGTTTCTTTGTTATGAAAATTATATTATTCCATGCTTTGATCCTAGTTTACAGCATCTGTAACCCTCGGGTTATGATTCCACAATTCCATCCCCTTGTACTCTCGAGATTTTTTTAATTCCTTTAATAAATGTTACCTAAAGTGTCTCCCATGGATCATCATGGGGACCAAAAACCATCCAAATGACCAGATATAGCATTAAAATACACCAAAATAGGACACAAACTAATACACTGAAAAAATGTGTACCCTGCAATAAACACCTCACCGTATGTGTCAAGGTTACTTGTATAATACAATAAGATAAGAACCATGGATGGAAATAATTAACCTAGGATATCATGTTCATTCCCAGAACCAATACATGTCATGCCACACAATATAGATCCATAAACCTCTTAAAAGAGGGGGAAAAAGAAACTACCATGCCCTTTCTATAACATATTTTAACTACAAATATGAATGGAAGAATGTGCTAAGATGGCCCCAACCTGATATCCATACACATCAGCAACATGGATCTGAGCACCTTCGTGGAGCAAAAGCTCTGCAGCCTGAATAGATCCGCGAACAGCGCTCCAGTGCAAAGCTGTTTGCCCAGTAAGATCCATAGCATTTATATTTCCACCATGCTGGAAAGTTTATGCAAACAAAATAATTAATAACTACCACATGGTTTTATGCATACTAAAGCCAAAATCAATTCATATCAACTGGGATTGATGATATGTTTGCAGCTGACTTGAGTAAATTGCCCTTCTCTAGCAGGCCGATTTTGTAGGGTTGTTCAATATTTGGTTAGGAGTTGAAAACCCCAAACAGATTTCAAATTTGATACTCCTTTTTTCCTATTTGCTTTGTATCCATCAATAAATTCAATTGTTGGTTTGATTTTCAAATTGGAGCTTTTCAATCCAAACCAAAAACCATATAATATTATGAATATATATATATATATATATATATTGTATGTATGTGCATTATATATACATATGTATGTGTATATATATGTATGTATGTATGTGTATGTTTGGTTTATATTAGAAAGCTTAAAACCCTAACAGGGACAAACCACTAGAGTGGCCGATTGCAAAAACTGAGAAGTCCAAGACCACCAAGGCAGCCACTCATGGAGCACCCCCGACACTCATTTCTGTCCCTCAGTCAATGCCTCGACGGCTGAACAGATTACAGTCGACAGTCACTCATGCATCATGCCTCAATGCCTCAGTGGCGCTGTCAGTCGTCTCTGTCCCACTAAAAAGTCAGAAACCTTCATCGAATCATTTTGATTCACTTGTAGCATTAGAAGACATGTATTTCCTTCCAGTGTGTATACCCATTGTTCTTTTTATTTAACTTTGAATTTGAGTTCTTCGAACCGACTACCAACTTCAAAACATTTCATTCAATCAAACAGAATTTGAACCTAAAACCAAACTTTAAATTTGAATCCCATTTGGTTTGACAAATTAGAATTGGAATCCGGTTCAGTTTTTGGTTTGGGTTGAATAAAATCCAGGCCAGAGAAAACAACAATCACAGAGTGTGCTGATAGATTATAAGATAATGATAATGATACCTCATACTTCAACGTTACGTACAAGCATTAACGATCAAAGTTAGTCATCCTGATTCAAATAAAGGTGGACACTGGACAACTTTGTTAAAAGTATGGAAGTTTCTAAAACATGCTGAAAATGGAAGAGGAACTAAATTTAAATGTTACTCATTTATTTTCAAAAAGAGTAATTAACATTTATATCTATTGTACTTGGCTTTAGCTTCCCAAAAAACCATTGTACATGCAAAAATTGGGGCAAAATGTTCAAATTTTCCAAGTACAGTGTTTTTTCGTGATTTTTGCAAGTATAATGGTTGTTCTGAAAAATAAAACCAAGATTAAAGGTTAAAAATGCAAATCACTTTTTTCAAGAATGAAGATTTACATTCAATGATGGGGAGCATAAATTTTCGTACATGCACATAAAAGCGTGTACTCAGCTGCAAATCTACAATATGGTGGTTGTGGTCTCTCCATATGAGAAGGACGAAAGAGAGAACCCTAGAATCATAGAAAGCAAGCGTGTTTGAGACGGAAAGTAATTGTGTTATTCCACTATTACATCTTGGTGATGATATTGTGTAAGTGTAACAGTACATTTTAGGCTTGTAGAACTCACAGAAAAGACTGCATGCATGCTAAGTTGGTTGAACTTCTCCGGTCTCCGTTCTACTATATGTCTAGATTCATTCAAACATGGGGGCTCCGTGATCGTATTAGATATGATAGTGTTGGTGTACCAGGTTTGCTGATTCCTTGTTTTCTCATTCCATATCTATCTTAAATTGTCCACTTTAGTTGGATTCTGTTACACATTCTGATGATTGTATCTACATCTTGCCTTCACTAAATACCATGTTCCTTCAATGGATTTAAGATGGCCAATTAACCAACTGGTCAGCACATGAATGCCTGCTTGGCTCAAGAACTTTGCAAATTCTGATGAGTACACACGCCTTACATTTTGTGTCTTTGTCCGGCCACCGTTTTCCATATCCTGAATATCACAATAACTTTTTATGATCTTTCTTGAAGACCTAACTCCCAAGTATTCCTTGTTTCACCATGAATAAAAAATGACCAAATAGTTTCGAATTATTCACAAATTAGCTATTTCAAACAAGGTTGTTAGTCCTTTTTTAATTATAACGAAACTTATAATTTTATTCCGAGTTAACAATGAAGCAACTTGCTTGTGTGCTTGATAACTATGGTCAACGTGTACCAGTAATTACTCTTCGTCGTAAAGATCTCAAATGGGGCAGACTTAGTCAAGCTTGTCAAGGAAGCATATGGTTGAAGTTAGAAGCTCGATACACCCGGACAGCAAAGCTTAAAACTTACATAAAGCAAATCATAAGTATATTTACCATCTTACGTGCGATTCCGAGTTAAGATAGCAATAGTGAGTTCGAGGAAAAACCTCGATAATGTATTGGGCAGCAGCGGCACGATTATTGAGGGCGGCCCATTGCAAGGCGTAATAACCAAGGCTATCAGGCTGGGAGACGGAGCAGCCTTCCGACTCAACCAATCTCTGAAGCTTCTCCAAATCCCCGTACGCTGCTGCAGTGTAAACATCGTCCCTCAAACTCTCTTCATCTACTCCTGCCTCTATCGTCCCGTTCCCGTTACCGGTGCCAGCATCACGATCTCTAGATTCTTCAACCTCGTCAACGACCTCGATTTCCGACGACATAGTTGATCTTTACAGATTCTATAATATGAATTCGAATCGTCAAATTAGAAGATGACCGATTCAAAGAGAAAAATTAGAATAATGGCAGGATTGTTTCTTGCGGATTAGGGTTTTTCAGGGAAGGGGAAAGAGAGAGGGAGGAGTCAACCCATTTTTTCCTCCATCTCGCCTATAATGAAGTTTGACTTGCAGACAATAAAATATTCAAAGTATTAATTAGAGTAAATGGCATGTTTGGTCCATGTAGTTTATATGTTGTTACGTATCAAATCCTTCTTTTGAAACAATTATAGATTACATCCTTGTGGTTTATAATTTATAACGTATTAGGCCCCTAGACTTAACTCTGTTCAAAAAGATTTGTTTAAGGTTATGTTTTGAACAGATCATGTTTCACAAAAACTAGCCGATAAAAATGTAAAATGATCAAAAATGGAATTTTAAAAAATTAGTTAATTCTAGTATTTCATATTGTAATTAAAACAAATTTATAGTAATATAATATATATACTATATTACAAAGCATTTGACAAAAACTCTTAAAAATCATTTTTTTTATACATGAATTACTATTTATTGATGCATATTTCTTAAAATTCAAGATTATAAGAAATTAATGCATAAGTATAACTTATTAAAGTCCCATGTTTGAATTCGTGTAACTAACTGTAGATAAACATTTCATTTTAAATATAAAAAATCTAAAATTTAATTTAAATAATCATTGTGTTCTAACAGAATACTTAATTATTATCTTTATAAAAAATTATATTATTAAATTAAAAATAAATTATTTCATTATTAAACCTAAATAAATTATAATTAAAAAAATTGAATTACAGAAAATACACAATAAAACAAGAACTTTTAAATAGTTAATTTAATATCAATGCCGATATATTTTTTTCAAAATTTTATAATATCTTTAAATTTGTATTTTATTCAAAAATAAAAATCATTATCGTTTTTCTCAAAACCACATAAAACTGTATTATAACATCGACAAAGGGACAAAATAAAACGAAATATTAAAACCGAGATGTATCTTGTCGTATTGCGCGAGTACCCTTCTAGTGTTAATTAACATAAATAAAATAATAATAAAATTAAATAATATAATATATATTGATTGAAAGAATTTCGAATTGATTATTATATACATTGTTAATTTT